TCTTCCCTATAAACTATCCAAAATAATCCAAAAGGGCTACCCACAACCACCAAAAGGGAAATTCCCCAAAAAAACACATTCAGAAAATCCTAAAAGTCCTTAAAATCAATCTAATAAAACTTCACGAAAACCGAAAAAGCTAAATAAATATAGACAGTCCATAATAGATCTAAAAAACCTCCAAAATACCATTCTTTAATACACCTTTAGTGAAAGTAAAGTCCTATTTTACCCATAAAATTACACATTCCTAATATTTTTTGGGGTAAAAAGACCCCGAAAATGCCTATGAAAACAATAGAAAGACTTTATCCTGCGTTTTTGAGGAATAAGGTGTCTATTTTTACATTTGGGAAGATTAGGAGTGTTTTTTTATCAGAAAAATTATAAAAAAACTCGAAGAAATTCGGGATAAAATCCATCTAAAAATCCTTGAAAATTTTATAAAAATTTAAAACATTTAAAGGAAATCTGATTTTTAAATAAAGCAAAAAATAAATAAAAGAAGTCAAATCTATAGTATTGAAAATGACATAAAAATTACCCAAAAAAGCCACTGGAAAAATACTACTTAATAATACTATTTTGGCCTTCTGAGCTGTATTTTAAACTTTTTAAGCTTCCTATATTTATTATTATGTTAAGGATTATATAGGGAGAAAGTTCCTTTTCATATTTTAATACATTTGAGAGATTATTAGTATTTATAAATGACTATTATATAAGGTTTATGTAGAAAATTAGTGTACATTTCTTACAATTTTGGGGTATATTTATCTAAATTTATAGTGTTATCTGGTCTTAGAGGAGTTCTTAATATGTTTTAAAAGGTATTTAGGGGTTAATTTATATTTGGAAGTATTAAGTGAGATCAGGAAGCTCTTAAAAATATAGTTTTTATTCGAATTTTATTAAAATTTAATAACCTTAGTTTTCTATTATAGAATGAGTAATTTAATATGTATTTTCTTATTAAAATAAAGAAATAGAATTCGTAGAAAACATTAATTTTCTTATAAAAAGTAATTTAAATTGCATTTAATACATTTATTTTATTAGCATTAAACACAATTTTATATTAAACATTCTTATTTAGTAGTAGTATTTTAATTAGTATTTTAAGTGGCATTTTAAATGGTATTTTATTTAGTATTTTAAGTGATATTTTCTGTATTATTAGTAATATTTTATTTAGTATTATGAGTAGTATTTTAAGTTGTATTTTGGGTAGTATTTAAGTGGTATTTACTGTAGTATTTTAGGTAGTATTTTAAGTGGTATTTTAAGTTATATTTTAGGTAGTATTTTAAGTGGTATTTCTGTAGTAGTTTAAGTTTATTTTAATTTGTACTTTATTTTGTATTTTCTGTAGTATTTTATGAATTATTTTATGTAGTATTTTCAGCATTATTTATGTAGTATTTTAAGTGATATTTTAATTGTTATTTTAAGTGGAATTATATTTAGTATTTTATATAGTATTTTATGTAGTGTTTTAAGAAGTATTTAATTAGTATTTAAAGGAGCATTTTATGTAGAGTTTTCTACAGTATTTTAAGCATATTTTAATATATATTTTCTGTGATATTTTATGTTGCGTTTTATACAGTATTTTAAGTGTTATTTAGGAAGTATTCTGTGTAGTATTCAATCCATTATTTATATTGTATTTTAAGCAGTATTTAAAGGAGTATTTTTTGTTTTTCTGTAGTATTTTAACCGGTATTTTAAGTGGATTTTTAAGATATATTTTCAGTGGTATTTTATGTAATATTATCTGTAGTATTTTAAGTGATATTTTAAGTGTTATTTTGAGTGTTATTTTAGGCAGTATTCTATATAGTATTTAACGCAGTAATTTATTTAGTATTTTATGTAGTGTTTTCAGCATTATTTTCCTTAGTATTTAACGCAGTAATTTATGTAGTATTTTCAGCATTATTTTATGTAGTATTTTCAGCATTATTTTATGTATTATTTTTAGTGTTATTTTCCTTAGTATTTTATATAATATTGTTTTATTTAATAATTATATTATCTAAATTTATTATTTTCTCACATTTTTTTCCTTAAAATCCTTCTTTACATATTTTACATAATTACTTATCATACTAATTACAATTTAAACAATTTTAAACCTCACAAATAACACATAAATTACTATTTAAATCTATACTATACCCTTAAATACACTAAATACATACTAAATCATCTACTAAATTACATTCTTCACAATATTAAATAGAACATTTAGCACATTAACCTCTTTAAAGTAGTAATCCTTACTAACATTAAAGACACTCTTTCTTTTATAAATCAAAATCGACACAATTATTACAAAAACCAATACTACAAGTACAATAGACATCCCATTCATTAATTGAATTTGTTTTTTTTTCAAATTTAAAAAGAAACGAATTATCACATTCTTCACAAGAAAAATCATTTTTACAATTAGAGCATCCTAATTTACATTTCTAACAAATTCTATTCTTCTAATTATAAAAATAACCTTTTTTTTAACATTCCTAATGTTCACATTTTTACAAAAAATCGCTCCAAAAGTAATTTTCATCACAAAATAAACACTTTTCCTTACCGCATTTTTAGCAAAATTCAAATTTACATGCACAAATAGATAGACTAGAATTAAAAATATCAAAAACCTGTAAAATTTTATCATTTTAACATTTTAAACTACCCTCAGTACACTAAATTGGAATTATCTCATTCCCGAAAACCTCCCATTTTTAACACTAAAAGTTATATTTTCACACTATTGGTGTTCTTTAGAGTAATAAAATAAAACCTAATCACCCTGGCATTATCTATTGCTTATTTATACACATTATTTTAATTAGATGTCCCATTCAAAGCCTAATCGACATTAATTACAATTATCAAAAGTTGTACATTTAGCACATTTTGGTGGACAAACTGTAATTTTTTCACAAAGAAAAACATTTTCATGTTCAAAGAGTTTAAAACCATAAAAACAGTTCAGACAAGAAAATTAATTTTTACAAAAAAGACAATTTTCGATACAATTTCCCCATATTTTAACACTTTTAATCCCAATATAATATTAACTTTTTTAACTCAAGGAAAAGCCTGTATTAGTCTTAAATTTATTCGCAAATAAAATTTTTAAATCTTTTGAAAATTGCTAAATATTTATCTAGTATTGAGTATATAATAATTTATAATTTTTTCCTCTAAAATAAATATATTATTTTTCCTATTTCTCATTTTCTTCTATATTTTTACATTTATTTTACTAAAAAGTAAACTAACCATTTATTATCTCAATTGAAAATGCCAATTCTTAATCTTAATGAACTATATAAGACGCTTCGACTACTAAAAATTAAATTTAATTGTCTATTATAAATAAAAAAAAAAAAATATGAATATATATATATATGGATGATAATATAAAAATATATATATTTATATATAAATAATAATATAAAAATTTATATATTTCAATATATTTAAATATAATATATATTTATATATATAAATTATATTTATATATATATAATATTTCTATATAAAATTTAAATTAATATTATATTTTTATTTTATAAATATTAATTACCTTATATATTATTTATTTACAAAGAGCATTCAATTCCGAATTAACCTCCTATTAATAATGCTTATTGTAAATTATTTATAGTCGAAGATACATCACAATCTGTAATTATTGTATTTTTTTAAATGTTTTTGCAAGAAAAATATTTGTTTGTTTAACACTATTAATTAATAAAATTTATATCAAATATTTCTGTATATTCTATTGTTACTTTTTTTTATATAATTAATATAAATATATATATATATATAGTAAAATATTTTATATATATATATAAATTTTTCATAGTTTAATTTTTTTTACTTTTAAATATTAATAACATATATATTATGTTTTTTTCTATTTTCATTTTTTTTATTTTTAAAATATATATATTCGCTAAAAATTATATTCATTTTTATTTTAAAAATTTTTGCTTAAAAATCTAATAAATTTTTAGAGTTAAGTTAATTTTATTATATTCGGAAAAAATAAAATAAATAATCTTTTTATAAAAATAAGCAAATTATAAAAATAAAATTATAATTATAATATAAAATTAATATCCTATTAAAAAAAACATATATATATATATATATATTTATATATATATATATATATATATATATATATTTTAGTTACTATAATCTTAAAATTTTAAATTAATTAAAAACATTTAATAAGATTTTTTTTAATTAAATAAATATTAATTTTCTATTAAAAAAAAAAAAAAAATTAAATGAAATTAATAGAAATATCTAAAACAAAATTAATGAAATAAAGCCGAGAATAAATAATTCGAATATTAGACTAATTAATAGCCCATTAAGATTCTGTTGAGTTTAGAAAGCCAGTTTATTATAAAGCTTTAGGTTTAGATGATTACCGATAAATAGTAAAAAAGCCAATGGATTTAAATACTGTTAGAAGAAACATAATAAAAAATATATATGGATATTTAGAAGAAATAATTGATGATATATAATTAGTATGGGATAATTGTAAACTATATAATGAGCAAAATTCAGTATTTTTATTATTTCTTTATTTCTATTTTAAATATAACAATAAAAAAAGCCTATATATTTAATTGCTGTAAAATTAGAAAATATATATCATGATTTACTTTTAGAAAATTTTCCATAAATTATGTAAATAAATACATAATACAATATAATTTAATTATATATATATATATTATCTAATTATAGGGAAAAAAGAAATGCCTAATTTATAAATAAAGATGATTTTATTATTTAATAAAATACACAAAATAAAATAAAAAAAGATTTTGTAAAAAAAAACAACAAATTCCATAAAAAACACGAAAATATATCCATAGAACATATTCCTTTTCTAAAATTTGCAAATGATAAAATAAAACTAGAATAGTTAATATAAACTACTAAATAAGTAGAAAAAAATGGCTACAAATTAATAAAAAAAAGTACACTAAAAAAAATAATAAAAAATAAAAAAAATAAAAAAAAATAAGATAATTGATTTAATTTAGCATTTCTAACCTTAAATAGTTACAAAAGTATTTTTTTATAATTTATATTAAATAATAATATATTTTTATTAATTATAAGTTTTTTTATTTATTACATGAAACATAGAGATTAACAAAAAAAATATATTTTATTATATTTTATTTTTTTTTAAAAAATATTACAGAAAATAATTTAATAATATATATTAGGATTAAAATGAAGTTAAATATATAGACTTTCATTTGATATCTGAATATACATATAACTTAATCTAAAACATATTAAACTAAACTAACACATTTAAATGCATAAACGAGGAAGAATCGGACTCTGAAATAAACGAAGAAGAAGATGATGAAGAAGAAGATGATGAAAAAGAAATAGAGGAAAAATAAGAAAAAGAAGAAGGTAAAATATAAGAATGAAAATTAAAATTTATATATAAAATAATATAAATAGTATATGTATAAATATATATATATATATATATATATTTATTTATATATATATCTATTAAATCAATTTTTCATGAAACTTTAATTTTCAAATTTTAAAGCTGAAGCATTAATTCCAATTTATTTATTTTTAAAATTTACATTTGTTTTTAATAAAAGCTATTTTAAGTTTTACTCTCATTAATATTTTCACCATTTATATAATTATTATTTTATTTAACATCTTCTTATTTTTGAATAATATTTTCATATTCCAGAATTAACGGTTATCCCTAATTTCTATTTTAATAAATATTATTTACTTTCTAAACTCTAGTATTCATTAAAAACTTATCCAAAATTGGAAAATCTCCAATTATATTACTTTCATTATTTTAATAATAATCATTATCTTTAATAGTATTCGCCATTATATTATTATTTTCATAAAACATATGTGTTTTTAAAAATTTTCTTGGGTTTTTTAATCCTTTTTAATTTTATTAAAACTAATACCTGTCAACATTATTTTCAAATTTTTAATTTTCTTATAAGAAATTATTCTTACTTTACGTATTTTCCTATAAACCTAATTCTTTTTTTAAATAAACTAATTGAATTCTTAAAAACTTCCTTTTACATATTTCTAAAAATGCGATAATTAAGCCTATTTATTATTTTCATATAAAAAATCGCTTGGAAATACACACGAACAAAACTCATCCATTGTCAAAACATTATTTCTATCTTTATTAAATCTAATAAGTAAATATTTAAAACTTTATTCATTAAAATCAGTATATTAATTCTAAATCATAAAAGCATAAAAACTAGATATAGTTAAATTAAATATAATATATATATGTTAAATAATATGAATATATATATATATATATATATATATATATATATATATTTATCTTTATACGCTTAAGAATCTATATAATCTTAATTCGGTCTAGCTATTCTGCGAAAACTTTCTCTAAAATTCCATCCAAAATTATTCATTAAATCCATTTTTTAAGATTCTGTTTCTCGAATATAATTTATTTCTAATTCAAAGATTTTTGATAATTATTCTTCTAAATAAAATGGTAATTATGGCTTTTAATTAGAACAATAAAACTTATGCCTTGCTAAACATTATTCTTTTAATATTTGGCTCTAATGAGGTAATACAATTTTTAAAAATCTTATTTTTTATTTTTAATTAAAAATAAAATTAAATTATATTTATAATACTCTTTAAAAGTTATATATTAATGATTTTATGAATAATTATAAATTAAAAATTCAACTTCTTTATCTCTAATCATTACATGATTTTTTCTAATTTTTTTTTGTATTAAAAATAAAACTGAATAATATTATATTTTTTTACGCTAAAAATATTTTTAAATCATTAGAGGTTAAATAACCATGTCTATGAGTATCTAAACATTTAAAAGCTTCAGAACATTCAAATTAATTATTTTCGCATAATAATTATCTATAATGTTCAATCTATTTATGAGATAGTATATATCATTTTATTAAATACATATATATATATATAAATATACTTCTTATTCCTTATTAATTATTGATGCTAATAAAAAAGCTAAACATAAATCGTAATTAATATTATAATTATTATCATCGTTATATTAATCTTAATTATAATCAACTTATTAATTTTATTGTGAAGAAATATTTATATAATTTTTATTTTGATTTGTTTAGAACATTATTTATATTATAATTTTTTTTTGATAATAATAAATATGAAACTGATTTATATATAATTTATAAAATTTAAACAAAATTAAAAAATTAATAAAAATAATAATTTTTAATTTACAAAATATTATATAAATATTTATTTATGAACAAATATATTTTTTTATTTATAATATATAAATTTAAAAAATTATATATTTAAAAAATCTTATATTAAATTAATTATGAAATCATAAATATTTAAAAAAAAAAATTAAATAAAATTGTATATTTTTAATTTATTGATTTTTTCAAGATTAAATTAAATATAAAAAAATTTAAAAAATAAAAATAAAAATATATCAAATTTAAAGATATATAATTAAAATATATTTAATATCTTTTATATAAAAATATTAAAATAAATTCATATAATATTATTACTATCATTAAAAATAATAAAAAAAAATATATATATAAAAAAATATATCATTATAAATAAAATGTATAAATATATATTTAAATATATTTAAATATATATATATTTATATAATATATATATATAAAAATTTTTCATTATATATTCATAATTATAAAAAAAAATTTTAATTTTTATATTTTACTTTTATTATAATTTATTTATTATAATATTTATATTTTATTGATAACCTATAAAATAATGTCTTAAAAATACAGATCTAATATTTAAAAATAATATAAAAGTTTATTATATATATCTGTGTATAATTATTTATTTCTCTCTTATTTTATTAAAAAAATAAATTATTTTATATTAAATATTTTTCTTTTAAAAGTCATAATAACTTTTTTAGTTTTTTTATAATTTATAAATTAAATAAATATTTAACATTGAAAATGTTTTAAAGTAATTTATACAATTTTACTTATAAAATAGGATTATTAACTTTTTAATTTTTTTTTATTTATATAGTTACTATAAATATTTTATTTTATTTATTTCAGTTAATTTTATCTTTTTTATATACTTATTTTTTTTACTAATTTATATATATAGATTTATATTTAAAATAGATTAATATTCATTATTAAAAACAATTTTTTATTAAATAGAGATAATTTTTGTTTTATTTATTTATCTCTTTTTGTTTTTTATTTATAAAATTAATTTTTAAATTATTTACTTTAAAATCTCTATAATGATATAAATAATATAATAAAATATGAAATTATAAAAATAAAACTATAAAATATTTAGTATTGAGTTTATAATCACCTATATATATATATTTTAATGATTAACATTATTTTATTAAAATTTTATTAAAATAAAAATAATTTATAAAAAAATTTATTAAAAAAAATATTTATTTTAAATTTAAAAAATATATTAAAATACTTTATTAAAATGGGATAAAAATAATACATTTATTTTATAATTATTATATAATAATTAAAAAAAAATTACCTATTATTAAAATAAAAATATATATATATTTTTTTAAAAAAGGATATTAATAATAAATTATAATATATATTATATGTTTATAGAAAGCTTTGAAATTATAATTGGATATATATTGTTAATTTAATTAATATTAAATTATACTAAAAATTAAACAATAAAATCAAATATTTGCAATAAGCCATCCTTCTTAATATTTTTTTATTAAATTACAAACTTTTTAAAAGTATAGAATTTTAGATTCATAAATATCTGATAATTAATTAATATAAACAAAAGGTAATATCTAAGAATCAATAATATTAATTTAAAGTAAAATTATTTATATTATTAAGTCTTTAACAATATTAATTCTAATAACATCATATTAATTATTAAAATTCTCGACATCAAATACTTATTAATATAGATTTTTTAAATCTTTATTCTATTCAATATAATTAATATTTCTTACATTTAATTTTAAAAAAAGACATTTTAAATGATTATTATTTAATCCAAGAGTTTGACTAAATTCATTCTTTTTACTCATTTCCTATATCCTTTAAATTATTTATATAACTATTTTATCATAAGCAAAAGGAACTTCAAAATAATCTAAATTCTCTTTACTTAAAAGTTTAATAAAGAATAATAAGACATATTTAGATTTATTATAGTTTTTCTTTTTATCTGAAGTATTCCTTTATTCGTTATATTATGATATTTAGTTCTCTAATTAAAATTAGTCATTAAAACCTGTGAGTGGTTATTAATAGTCATAAAAATTATCAAAATCTATATTTTTTGTTCTAAATTTATAACTTACAAACCTTTATTTTATTATTTAATCCCATTCTTACTATAATATATCATCATCATTTAAAGCTTTATAATCTCCATTTATATATAAATAGAAGATTTTTTTTAAATTATTAAACAAAATTTATTTGTTCTTATAATTTAGTTTTTTATCAAATTATACTTAATATTATTATTTCTAATTTAAGTGTTCTTGAGAAAAACTGGAATTAATAAAATTACTGAAACTTTGCTATTTATTTAATAGATATTATTATAAATTAAATATATTGATTTAATCATATTTTTTTATAAAATTAGTAGTCTATTCGTAGTTGTTTATAAATTCTTTTTTAACATTTTTATCTTTCAAGCAAGTTTTTATAAAAATATAATTAAAATTATTAATATTAATATTATTTTATACAATTTGATATTTACAAACTTTTTGTTTTTCATTTTAATTATTAACTGTTTCTTCGAATTCTTACTTCTAATCACTATAATTTTCTATCTAATTTATAGATACTTACTTAATAGGATATATCTTATTAGGATTTTAAGAAAGAGTGTCATTTTATGATTATAATAGTTATTATTCTTGTTTCATTTTTTTTTATTTAATTTATTTTTAATTTAAATAACAAATATTTTATTGCAATTATATTTTAAATTATGTTAAGATTATTTTAATATATTTATTTTACACAGGTTTAAAATAATATATATTTTTATTTAAAAAAAAAAATTTAAATTTTTATATGTTTAAAAAAAAAGATTAAAACATTAAAATAAATATATATGTTTTTTTTTTATCAAAAATTAATATATTATTATTAATATTAATAAATAATATTTTAAAATATTAGAAATATTAGTTTAAAACACTATTATATCGAAAATTTTATATAATTATACAATTCTAAAAGAAATAAAAAATAAATTACATTCTTATAAATATATAAAAAAAAATTAATTTATCATTTATATTTTTTCATATATATTGAAAAAAATTAAATACGTTTTTATTATTATAAAAATAATATAATTAATATTTTATATATATATTTAAATAAATATACTTATATTTAATAAATTAATATAATTTAAACAAATATCATTATTATAATATATATTTTTCAATAATAGAGAAAATAAATGTGTTTAATTAAATTATTAAAACCTAAAATAATAAAAAAATTTATCAAAATTTAAAAAAAATCTAAAATAATTTTAAAAATAATTGTAATTAAATTTTGTATTTAAAAATAAAATTTTTAAAAATATAATTCAATCAATATATAGACTAATATAATTTTTGTTATTAATTTACAGATAACAAATTATTTGTTCCTTTATATTTATATAACCTTATTAATCATTAATTAATTACTAATTTGTTAGATATAAAATAATATATTATATAATATATAAATAATCAACTTTTCCTAAATATCATTATATTTTATACTAATTTATTTATAATTTTTAATTTTATATATTTTATAAGAATTAATTATATATAAATCATAAATTTCACAAATAGCACAAATTTCAATTTTTTAAAATTTATTTAATGGACTAATTTTAACTGTATGTAAATAAAATCATTAATACTTAAATTAATATTATTTCACAATTTTTTTAGATATGTTTTATAAATTTTTATTTATTTACAAATAATCTAATTTTGCTATTCTAATCTATAGAAATTTAATATATTATTTTTATAAAATAAGCCAGATATATTCATTTAATTAGAAAAGGATAAATATAATAAAAAAAAATATAAATAAATATATTTATTTTTTTAATTATATATATATGTATATAATTAAAATTTATGTTTATTAATTAATGATATAATCTTAAATTACATTATATGTTATTTATAATAATAATTTATTTCTAATTAAAATTTTTTTAAAAAATATTAATTGATTATATGAATTTTTTTTATTTTATCTTATATTTTAAAATTAATAAGTGAAAAACTGTATAATAATTTTTTTTAAAAAAAATATAACTATAATATTAATTATATAATTATAAAATAAATTATTATTATTTTTTTAATAAAATGTAATCACAAATATGCATTAAAAATTCGTATAAAAATAATTTAAAAAATTACTATTTAAAATATATATTATTCTTAAATTATATTTTATTTTATTAATTACATATAAGCATAAAAATTATTAATAAGCTTTAAATTTTAAAAAAATTATAAATATTAATATTAAATAGCATATATCAAAATTTTTTAAAAAATTAATGTATTTATAAATTTTCAATCGAATTTTAATAAGAATAAAAAAACTTAATATTTTTTTTCTGATAAATAATTTTTTTTAAAAATAAAATAAAAAAATAAATTTAAATCATTTATAAATTTTCAAAAAAAGTTAAAAAAATAAAATAGTTTTATTAAAAAAATTTATTGAAAAATACCAAAAATAAATATAAAGAAATTATTTAAATGTTTTTTTTTAAAGAAAATAAATAATAAAAAAATATGAATTTATAATTTCTATATCTATAGTAGAAATTTATTATTAAAATATAATGTTAATATATTAATATATTATATTAAAAAATGTAATATTATAATATTTAAAAGTTTATAATTTAAAATAAATATTAAAATTATAAATAATTAAAAAGAATAAAGAAAATAAAATAATTATATATAATAAAAATAATAATAAACTATGTAAAATTAAACAACAAACATAATATATAATTAATAAATATATATATATTAAAAGGATTTGAAAATTATTAATATTAAAATAAATGAATATGATTAATATAATATAATAAAATAAAAAAATTATTAAAAAAAAATAATAATTATTATATATATATATATATATATTAATATCTATATATATATATTTTATATATAATATAAAAAACTTTACATTTACTTTAATAAATAAAAAAAATTAACTATTTTTACTATTTAAATGAAAAACATAAAGATATTATTTATTATATTAGCATTTTTTATTTATTATAAAAAATAATTAACATTCTTTAAATTTATAAAATGAAATTATTCCTTATTTTTAATATTTTTGGTAATTTAATTATTTATTAATAATTTTCAAATTCAAAACGACAAAAAAAAATATAACTCATAATGATTAATGAAAAATTTTACAAAGAGTATCAAAAATTAAATTATTTTTAAAAAATAAAAAATAATAAAATTAAATTTAATCAATATTAAAATAAAAACGTTAGATATTCTAACATTTAATAAGAAAACAAACTTATAATTTTAAATAAGACAAATAAACATTTTAAACTAATATGAAAAATAAAAAAATTAATAATTTACAAAAAAAAATTCATAAATTAATAAATATATAACAAGATATACATAAAAAATTAATATTTAAAACTTTAATAGAAGTAAATCAAAAAATATAAACATTTAAGTTTTTATTTCAACATTTAAATAAATTAGTAAATAAAAAATAATAAACTTAAGGTAACCATAATATTTAAAACTAAAAAATTATAAAATTAGAGGATTAAAAATTAATAGTTATATATATTTAAATAATAAAAAAAATAATATCGGATAATAAAATTTAAAATAAATTATCTATAAGAAAAAAGTGTTTTTTTATAATAAATATTATTAATTGAATAATTTGTTATTAAATAATTAAATATTTCTAATATAAAAATAAAGTTTGCTTATTATAAATTTATATATATATATATATATTTATATTTAATTATATAAAATTATTTTATAAATAAATCTATATAATTATATTTTATCTTTTTTATATATATATATTAAAAATTTTTTATGAAATTAATAGGAGACTATATAATTCACTTGGACAAAATATTAGGTTAAGGTTAATATGGTAAAGTATACGTTGCCTACAATTAAAACAACTAAGATTAAAAATTTGCTGTAAAAGTAATTGGCCAAAATATATTTAACGGTTCCAATACAAATGCAGAAATGATTCGCAAAGAAATAGAAGTATTAAAAAAATTAAAGCATGAAAATATAATATGTTTACATGAAATTTCTTAATCAACAAATAATTTATATTTGTTTTTAGATTTTTGCGATGGAGGAGATTTAGCCTCATATATAGAAAAACTTTCAAATAGAAGAATAAATGAGGAATAAGCTTTAATATATTTTCGATAAATAGTTGAAGGTTATAAATATTTATATAAAAATAAAATTATTCACAGAGATTTAAAACCAGAAAATTTAATGTTACATAATGGTATTAATATATATATATTTTATATGTATATTAAAGCAAGGAAAAATTAAAATTGGAGATTTTGGTTTTGGAAGATTTATTGATGGAGAAATGAATTCAATTTAAAGATTTTCTATAAAATGTACACCAATATTTGCAAGTCCTTAGCTTTTAAAAAAATAAAAATATAGTTCTAAGTGCGATGTATGGAGTTCTGGGTGCGTACTTTATAAAATGCTCTATGGAAATTATCCTTTTATAGCAAGAGATTATGATAGTTTAATAAGAAATATAGAATAAAAAGCTTAAAAATAAATTTTTTCATTTCCTAATGAACCTTATGTGAGTGATTAGACTAAATAATTAATTATTTAAATGTTAAAATTTGAAGAATAAGATAGAATTTCATGGGAAGAAATATTTAGTCATAAAGTAATTACAGAAAATAATAATAATTTAGAAAATTATGATTAAGAAAAATAAAAAATTTAAATGATAATAATATGTTTATTAAAAATTAAGAAAATAATGAAAATAATTATATAAATACAAATAATATATAAACAAAAATTAAAAAAGAAAATAATAAAATAAAAAATAATATTGATGATAATAATAATATTAATAATAATAATAATAATAATAATAATAATAATAATAATAATAATAATATTAATAATAATAATTTTATAGAAGCATTTGATAATAAATATTTATAAATAAATACAGATAATAATTAATTTGATAATATTAACAATTACAGGTAAAATTTAGATGATAATATTTATAAAATTGATAAGGATAATAATAATAATTTTTAAATAATTACAGATATGGATAGTAATTTATAATTAAATCTAGTTAAAAATTTAATAAATAATTAAATAGATAATAATAATAATAATATTAAATTTAATTAAGAAAAATTAAATTTTATAATAAATACAGATAACAATAATAATTTTAATTAGAATTTAAATAAAAATAATGATATAATGAAAAAAGATTAAAATACTAATTATAATAACTCTTTTATAAATACAGATATTATTAATAATATAATTTTAAATTAAAATAATAATAATTTAAAAATAAATAAAGATAATAATAATGATAATTTAACATAATACTTAGACAATACATAATAAGAATTAAATATAGAAAATAATAAAATAATATAAGATATTTAAAATTTATAAAAAAAAAAAGATATTAATAATAATAATATATAAAATTTAGATAATAATAATTAATAAATAAATAATTATAATAATAAATTTATTATAAATAACGTTAATATTAAAAATTAAAATTTCACTTATAATTTTGATAATAATATTATTAAAATTAATTTAGATACTAATAAAAATTAATAAAAATATTAAAATAATGATATTTATAAAATAACTTAAACAAATAATAATAATAATTTAATATAAAATTTAGATAATAATAATTAAAAATTAAATTTAGATGAAAAAAATATTAATTATAATTAAAATTTTAATATTAATAATTTAAAAATTTAAAATGAGAAAAAAAATATATATAATAATATTTTTTAAATAAATAAATAAAATGTTGAAATTGATAATAATAATAATAATAATAATAATAATAATAATAATAATAATAATAATAATAATGTAATTACTGATAATTATATTTAACCAAATCAAATATCCAATTACAATAAAGTATAAATAAAACCTCATAAAACATTTACATAAAGTAATAATTCTTAAGATTTAAATAATTAATTAAATAATATTTAATAATGTAATATGCAACTAAATAATCGAACATAATAATAATAATAAGAGCCGACATAATAAATTGATTAATAACTGGAATAAATAAAGAATAAATACTTTAAAAATCTTAAAGATTAAAAAGATATTTAATATATAGTTTAAAAATTGGACAAAATGTTATTATTTTAACGTAATTAAGCATTGTTTGCAGATGTAATAATGTAACTTATATACTCTTGTAAATTAAATTTTAATTTTCCTTTAAACTTATTCTATGATATAATATACAGTTTAGTAAGCTATTATAATTATTTTTTAGATTTTCTCTAAAAAATACTCTCATAAAAATAACAATAAAACATAAAATTTAATGATAACACATTTTAAATAGAAAAAGAAGAACTTAATATATATTTCCAAAGTCCTGAATATCTCATTACAAAGTAAAAAATTGATAAAGACTCTAATGCAGCAAAATAATTCTACGAAATCTTTACTAAAGAGCTCTAGTAGTAAATTAATAAAGATTTCTAAAGTGATTTAGAAAATTTCATGAAACAAAATATATAAGACCATATTGAATATAAGAATAGACTTAATTCGAAAATCAAAGTTGTCCTTACAATTATTAATATAGATATAATACATGAAATTTAAGTGCTTAAAGGTATAAGAGCACTTTAATTATTTTAAAAATTAAACTTCTATATACCTTTTTATGAATATTAAAATTTTGATTTTAAAACATTTTTTAATTCGGAAATAAATAAGGTATCTTAGAATCAATTAATTATAAATATAAAAAAGGATTTAATTTGAAATTGAAAAAAAAAAAAAAAAAAAATAATAAAAAAGCATATATATATAAATATATATATATATATATATATATATATATATATATATATATATATTTTACTCTTTTAACTTTTATTATTATTTTTTCTGTTATTTTTATAAATATATATTTATAAAAAAAATATAAGTTTTAAAAATTATTTTTAAATAATTAATTAAAATATAAATCATATTATTTCTTAACTTTTTAAAAATATTTTTTATAAAAAAATATAAAAAATATTTTTATATTATATATATATTTATTTATATTTACATATATACATATTTAATTTAATTAAATATATTTAATATTTTATATTCTCTTGTTTTATTTATTATATATATATATATATATATATATTAAAAAAAAATGGGAATTAATTAATCAAAAGACTAAACAATACATTATTTGTAATAATAAAACAACTAAAATTTCATAAATAATTCTTCCAAAAATCCAATAATAAATAAAATGTTAAAAAAACTTGAATATAAAATTTAAAATAAATACTTTGAAAAATCCATTAATATATATAAACAAAAAATATATAAATATTAAAACAGTTCTTAAATAATTATAGATTGTGATTTTTAGTATTTTTTATTTTTTAAGTTTGCATTAAATATTCAATATAATATTATTTCATTTCTTTTAGATAGTTATTATGCTTTAATTCTTGTTAATCCATTATGGTATTATAAAATAAACTAATAATTAGAAGAATAATTACTAAATATTGATAATTAATTCATAAAAGCATATAATAATATATTATAATTCTAATACTCTTATTTTCAAATAACTCGTATAAAAACTAATAATTATAACGGAATTCGAATGGACCGAAAAATATGTGCAAAAATACTACCTAATACCCCAAGTTAAAAAAATAAAGAATTATGAATAATATATTTAAAATTTTATTTTTAGAAAAATCCATTACGTTAAGACTTACATATAGAAGTTATAAATAAACATATAATAAAAAATATAAAAAATATTTATGCGAATATTAATTTGATTCATTAAATAAAAATTAATAAAGAATAATTTGGGCTCATAAAGAAGAATGTCGTGTAAAAATATAAAACTTATATATATATATATATAATATATATATAATATATATATATTTTTAAATATATTTATTTATAACATTATTATTATTTATTTTTATTTTAACAGCACAATTTTGATGAATAAAAAACTACATTTGTTTAAACTATAAGTCCAATAAAAACATAAGAAACTATAAAAATTTCTATTAATTTTTTTAATATGAATGGCTTAATTAATATTTCTAGTATATAATGGCTTTAGCCATTAATTAAGGATATTCAAAATATTCCTATATCATTAGATTGTAATAAAATGGAAACTTATGAAAAAGAAAGAATTTGTGAAGTTGAAGAAATATATAATAATTGGATACTTTATGAATATTATCATAATTCTTCTAAAATTAAACTTGATAAATTTGCTCCTTATTTGATATTAGAAGATGTTTATTGCGCAGGAATAGATATTATTACTAGTAAACATATATATAAGGCTGCTAAACCAAGTATTTACATAAAATAAAATTTTATATATATAAATAAATATAGCAAATGGAATTTTAGAAAATAGTAAATAAATACTAGGTGTAAAAATAGAAATTATTAATGACTAATAAGAATATATATGTGAGATTAAAAAAAAAGGACTTTATCAAGATTTAAATGATTATATTTAATTAAAAGTTGGTGATATATTAGTGTTTTATATTAGTAGTGGAGATTGAAAAAAATAAAAAACATTATCATTATATATATATATATATATATATATATATATATATATTATATATTTATATATATGTATATTTCATATGTACCTTGTTTATTTTTTATTTTATTTGATATTTATATTATTATTATTTATAAGTTTTTTTTTTAAGAAAAAAATAAAAAGATATATAATTTATTTTGAATAAAAAACAAAAAAAATATGAGTATAAAATTATTTTAATTATTAAGATAAAGCGCAAACTTTAAATTATTATAAAATGTATAAATTCTCCGTTGGAGGAAAAAAGGTCAAATAAAAGAAGAAACAACATTATAAAGAAAAGAAAAAAAGCGTTTGAAGTTAGTAAATACCCTTTCTCCAGAATATACAGGAGAAAAGCCACTTCACCCATGGTTAACAAGTCGAAGACTTGAAAGCATTAGTAACTTAATATACAACCTATGTAAATAAAAATAGACATAATGTAAAAGTAGAATTAGAGGATAAACTTAAATTAAAGAAAGAATATGATGAAATAGGAGAATTTTAAGTTAAAATTTAACAAATAAAAATAAAAATATAATTTTTATTTTTTTATTTCAGTATTATTAATAAAGATGTATTGAAATATAATAAAAAAAATTAGAAAATTAAAAATAATTTTGTATGGAAAATTTTAAAACCTTACCATTTACAATGTAAGATGAAATAAAAAATATACCATTAGAATAAAAAAAATAAATAGAATATCCTACACATGATCCTTTAGTTTTGTAAAATCATATAAATATATATATATATAAATAAATGTATATATATATATATTTATATAATTTTATATTATTTAAAATATTAATATATATTTTTAATAGATATAATGATTAAATTTTAAGATTAATAGATGAAGAAAGTGCCAAAAGATTAAAAATTTCTTAAAGATTATAAAAAATCGCTCTTGATAAATTAGAATCTCATGAATGATTTATTTTAGTTTTTTTTATATTACATAAACATTAAATATATATTTTTTTTTTTATAAATAAAATTTTATTTAATTTAATATTTTTGTTTTAATTAAAAAAGATATAATATTTTATTATTTAAAAAAATAAAATAATAAAAAGATAAATATATATAATATTTTTGTATTTAAAAAAATGTTACAAATGATATCCAAAATAAATCGATTTAATAAAATTGCATATTAATTTATAAAAATAAATTAAAATTTTTCAAAAGTAAATATTCCTATATTAGATCCTGATTAAGACCCAATAAAAAATAATGAAGAAATAGAAGAAGATGTTTTGGAGGAAAAAGAAGAAATAGAAGATCCTGAAATTATTAAAAAAATTGAAAGAAGAAGATTTTATAATTAACCTGAATATATCCCTTCATCATACGGAGAAGGAAAAGAAGCTCATATTAAATATATAAAAAAACAATTAGATGATTTAAACTAACTTATGCCTACAAACATTTTTAATATATTAGAATTTTCGGAATAATAAGAAAAATTTGCAAAATCCTTATTACAAGACGATGAAATGATGGTAAAATATTGAAAAAGAAAAATCTATATATATATATATATATATTATATAGAAAAATCAAAGAAAAATAACTAATATTTTAAAATATGAATAACCATCTGAAATTTAAATTAATTAATTAATTTAAATAATATAATCTTCATTTTTAAAAGACTAATATTAAGTATTAACTAAACGTGAATTTGAGTAACTAAAAAATAAACTATATATGAATATATATATATATAGATATATATATATATATATATATATATTTAAAATATTTTTATATTTTATTATATATATATATAATATAAAAAAATAGCTCAATAATATTTAATCCATCTTTATTTAAACCAATATTCCCTCTTTTAAAAAATAAATAATTTTTTCAAGCAAATTCTCAATATCTATAAACTACTGAAATGATAAATATATTTAAAAGTGCTTAAAAAAACAATGACTTTTATTAATTACTGGAACTTTATCGTTTCAATCCTAAATTACGTCTTAGTTTTTAAAGAAACACATCTCAAGAAAAGGATTATGTTTCCGACTTTTTATTTTCTGTAAAAAACGAGAATTAAAACAAAGTAAATCATTTACTTTCTTTATATTTAGCCCATAATATGTTTTCTCATAAAATAATAAATACTGGAATGTTCGAAATAGAGGATATAACCAAATATTTTCCCTATATATATTTTGGAAATGGTAATAATAAATAAGAATTTTTTAATAAAATACATTCTTTATTATTTAATTTTTATAAATTACCTTCTAATTTACCTCTTTAGTATTATTTATGTGATGTATTCTTCACATAAGATAATTATGATTAAGGTCTTTTGCATTTAGTCCTTCATTTTTTGATTTTAGCAAGACTTTCTGAAAATTAAACTAATTTAAATGACATTTTCTATAAATATAATACACTCTTTTCCCAATAAAAGTTTAATTTTTATATTAAAAAACACTTCGTGGACATCATTTAGACCTTTGAGAATAAAAGCATTGTCTAAAGCTTGCAAAAAAGCTTAAATGAATATGAAAAATCGCCACAATCTGTCCCTTAAATCTAAAATTTCTTTGACAAGTAATTCTATTAGACAAATTCTTACATATCTTATCAATATTCAGTCTAAAACCAGATTTAAATTTCATCTTTTAATGACAATATTTCAATTTTCAAGCATTAATTATTCCAAGATACATACGTTCATAATATAAGAGATAATGTTTTGCATTTTTTTTTGAAAGAAACTTCCTTTAACAACTAGATATAATTCGAAGCTTCCGAAATGTTAAAAAAAAACTAAAAAAAAGAATATGTTTTAGCCTAAACTTATTCGAAAGTGGAAGGTTTATATATGGATAGACTTGAAAATATAAATTAATAATTTTTTAAAAATAGAAATATAAATACTCCTTATGATTATTAAAAAAAAAGATTTACACCAAAATATTAGTTTTCTTCTACATAAAAAAATGATAATAAAAAAGAT